AGTCGGCGTCCTTCGCCGAAGTCGATGTCTTAGTCGACTGCTTCTCCTTGCGCGGCTGGTTTCCTCCACGACGAGGACGACGGCTGCCAGACCTCCCACGGCCTCCCTTAGCATCGTCGTCGTCGGAGTCGCTGCGGTTCGGACACTCGAAGGAGAGATGGTCGGGATCGCCGCACAGCCAGCATTCCCGACGTCGACCTCCTCCTCCACGACCGCTGTCCTTGGTCGACTTCCTCTTGTCGACCTCCTTGGCCAGCTTCCAGCCACTGCTACCACCATTGCCAGACTGCCCGCGCTGTCCCGGTCGGCCTCCTTGCTTCGCTGAGGTGACCAAGTTCGCCTGCGCCAAGAGCTCCTGCGACCGCTCAGCCTTCTGCATCGCCTCGTCCTGCAGGATATACGAGGTCAGGTTGTCCTCGTTGAGCGTCGCCCTCGTGCTCGGCGCCATAGACAGCCGCTTCAGGAGGTTATAGCTGCTAGACAGTCCCTGCATGACATGGGTGATGTACGACGCCGTGGAGTACTGCGCGCCGGCCATCCTGATGGTGACGAGAATTCGCCTGGCTCGGTTGCAGTAGTCGGTCGCACTCTCCTCGTCGCCCATACGCAGGTGTGTCAGCTGTCCCTCCAGCTGGGCGATGAACAGGTCGTCGGTGACCTGGTACGTCGACTCAATGAAGTGCCACGCCCGGTGGCCGGCGTCGAGGTACTCCCGGCACCACTTCAAGGCGATCTGCACGCCCGGCGAGCAGCACCGCGAGATGACCGTGAAGGTCAACAGCTGCACGGCGCGAAACTCCGCACGCAGGTCAGGGTGGTGCTCCCCCGGTGTCGCCACGGTCCCTCGGGCGAAGCCGATCAGCCCGGCCATCTCCAGCTGGGGCTCGATAGCTTCCTTCCAGGTGAGAATGTCGGGTCGACCGACCAGTGGGGGGGTGACTGAGATCCTGTCCGGCGTAAACTTGAAGTAGCCGTAGCTCGACGCAATCCCACCTGTCGTCACCTGGGACGCTGACATCGGCGACAATCCACTTCGACGCCGACCAGCGTCGCCATGCGAGGAGCCTGCAGCCGCCGACGACTGCATCCCTCGCGCCTGAACGCCGCCGGCTTCACCGGCGTGTATCACACCTCGTTGCCTCGACGTGCCTCCCACACTGCTGCCGACCTGACCTCCACCGGCGTTGACACCCACGTCGACGCCGCCGTCGTTGTTCACCGGTCGAGGAGAGGCAGGTCGAGAAGTGGGGTGCTCCGCCGCCCACACGGAGCGGAGTCCGGCTTCGACGACTGCCCAGGGTATCGCCCCATACTCCTGGGCCTCATGGCGTCTCCTCGCATCCTCCAGCCGTCCCTCCAGGGTGTCCATCACCTCGGCGTCGCCTACGCGCACGCTAGTGATTGCACGGCTGCCGGTCTACGAACACGATCAGTATGTGCTAAGTCGGATAGACTGAACTACGTCGCGGTGTCTTCCACGCTCACCGCACCATGCGGAGATAACTGCAGCAACGGGAGTTAGACCACGGGCTAGGCACGTGTGCTCGTGTGATCTCTGCGTTCTCTGTTCCTTAGTCGTTTTCCTTGTGCGCGCACTACTTGCTAGTTCATGGGGAAAATTGGCAAGAGTTCCACTAGGAAAAATTCAGAAGAATGATAGCAACAACATTGGCAACATTGACTACATCAGAGCTAGCTAGGCTGCCGGTCGACCTCCAGCGCAGCACGGTCGACCGCACTCCAGCACAGCAGTGCTCGCACAGCTCCAGCGTAGCAGAGTAGCGGTTCGCCAACGTTGCAAGTCCACGGTGTGCCAGCGCTGCACCAAGTCGGCTGCACAGCGTTGCATCCGCAGGACAACGGTGCACCTGCTTCGCAGATGCGCGCAGCTGGTTGGTGTGCACTTCCCAGTCACGTGCACAATGCAGACGCCTGGCAGATCCCGTGCCAGCGACTGTGCCCACCAGCCACGTCGACCTCGGGATACCACCCCGAGGTCGACCTCGAAGTCTCCATCCTGGCGACACTCGCGCACGTCGCCCAGGTATCCCGATCGACCGGGCAACCACGCCTGGTCGACTCACGCAGTGTCACGCATGCCCGACGTCCCCGGTCTGGTGTCCAGGCGCGCCCAGAATGCCTTCCGAACCCCTAGGTCGGCGTCCAGACGCCCAGGACGCCGACCAAACCTCCAAAGCGGCGTCCCTCCTCCCAGGACGCCGACCAGACACCCAGGTCGGTGTCAGGACCCGACGCCCAGGTCGGCGTCCGGATCCCCGGACGCCGTGCAGACGCCCACGACGTCGACCAGGTGTCCGGGTGGTCATGGCGACGCCCAGCTCGGCGTCCCTTGCAGTGGTCCCCCATGCAGGTCGACCTCCTCGTCGACCAGCTCACCCACCGCCGCAGGTCGGCTGCTCCCCTCACACCCGACCACGAAGTCGGCTCCGCCCAAGCGAGGACGGGGCCAATACCCAGCTCCCGTTGACAGCAGCTACCCTACCAGACTCAGTAACTGGAGGAGACGCAGTGGTCAGTGTGTACAGGCTCGACCCCGGCCGACGAGTAAACGTGGCCAGGTGTCGGCCTGTCCGAGCGTCCGTGCAGTGGGTCACCCGCTGACTCGCAGGAGTGAACTGGTGAACCCCCGCATCCTGCAGGTCAGCACCACTCACCAAGTTCGTAGAGAACGAGGGGAGGTAAAGACCAGACAGGGTGCCAGAGGGGGCCGCCGGACACGGGAGGACAGTGGAGAAGTGAGCAAGGACAGGGCCCCCAGAGGGGTCTGCCAGAGAGACTGCAACTGGCCGACCAAGCGGCGTGAGTGTGGTGCGGTCTCGAAAGAAGGAGCGGGAAGCCCCCGAGTCAAGGGTGAAGGTGTGAGAGGCCGGAGCCGACTCGGTACCTGAGAGAGCAGACTCACCCGCACCTGAGGAAGCAGACTCACTAGCACCTAGAGCAGCAGCCGCACCTGTACCTGGAGCAGGAGACACACTAGCACCCAAAGCAGCAGCCGCACCAGCAGCTAGAGCAGCAGGCTCTATACCCGGGTCAGGCGGTACGCACAGGTGACCGGCACGGTCAGCACTAGTAGGCAATGCATACATGGCAGTGAGAATAGCATTATAGTCAAAAGCAAATATATCTACCCTCTGCCTAAGCAACTCCACCCAGTCGGGGAGCTCAGCCTCGTCGCCAAACTCGGTACGCCAGGCGTCGTTCAGACGGGCGAAGCAGCGGGACGGTGTATGACTAGGCGTTCCACAAGGCTGACCAGTCTGAGCACCAGTGCGAATCACGTAAGAGCAGCGAACAGAACTGAGAGACCCTCTACTCTGAGCGTACCACTCACGAAGCTGCTGGGGCGTGAGAGACGCGCGTGGGCGTCGCTGGAGCTGCATCTGGCCGCCGCCAGTAGAAGCAGGAGCAGGAGTAGCAGCAGTAAGGCAGGAAGCCAAGCAAGCTGCAGGCAGCGCGCTAGTAAGGCAGGGGCTCACCAGTGGTGGGAAGAGCAGGCTCGACGACTCGGCGACTCGGCGGCACGGCGGCACTGCAGCAACTGCGGCTCGGCGGCTCGGGCGACCCGGGCGGCTCGGCTGCTCGGGCGACTCAGGCGGCTCGGCGGCTCGGCGGCTCGGGTGGCTCGGGCGGCTCGGGCGGCTCGGGCGGCTCGGGCGGCTCGGGCGGCTCGGCTACTCTGCGGCTCGGCTGCTGGGCTGCTCAGCGGCTCGGCTACGGCTCGGCTGCTGGGCTGCTCGGCAATGCAGCAGGCGACGGGCCGGGGCAGCTGCGCGGGGCCGGGACGGGCGGTGCACGGGCGGCGTGGGGCCGGGACGGCGGCGCGCTGCCGGAACGGGCGGCGCACGGGCGGCGTGGGGCCGGGACGGGCGGCGCACGGGCGGAGTGGGGGCCGGGACGACGGCGCGGGGCCGGGACGGGCGGTGCCCGTGCGGCGTGGGGCCGGGACGGCGGCGCGCTGCCGGAACGGGCGGCGCACGGGCGGCGTGGGGCCGGGACGGGCGGCGCACGGGCGGAGTGGGGGCCGGGACGACGGCGCGGGGCCGGGACGGGCGGTGCACGTGCGGCGTGGGGCCGGGACGGCGGCGCGCTGCCGGAACGGGCGGCGCACGGGCGGCGTGGGGCTGGGACGGGCGGCTCACGGGCGTTGACGGGCTGGAGCAGCGGCGCGCGGTCGGGACGGGCGGCGCGCGGGCGGCTAGGGGCCAGGACGGGCGGCGCGCGGGCGGCTAGGGGCCAAGACGGGCGGCGCGTGGGCGTCTAAGGGCCGGGACGGGCGGCTAAGGGCCGGGACGGGCGGCGCGCCAGAAAAGAAAGAGGCCGCACGCCCCGAGGCGCGCGCCAAAGTGCAAATCGCCGCGCGCCGAAAATGCGTCGCACGCCACGGGGCGTGCGACAGAGCATGTAGCAGCGGAAGCAGTAGTACCCACAGGCCGAGAGCGTAACCGCTCTGAAACCATGTGAAAGAAACTAGAACGAGAATGGATGAACTATGAATGAAGTGAGTACATATAGGAAACCCTGATTGGGTTGTACCCCCTATGGGATACCCCACTATAGCCTACACAAATATATAAGCTATAATGTTCTGACAATGTCCAGTCAGGAATGCACCCTAAGCCCGGTATTTGAGCCATAATACACGATTCTTTTCAACCCCATGCACCCACAATAGGGCATCTAAGCAGAGTATGCCACTGTAACTGTCTGATACAATAGGATATGCAGTATCAGAGCGATACATGGTGTACATCGCACAGGTGAAGATGCACTGCATGGCAGTTCTAAGAATATACATTGACAAAGGCTACTGCAATAACTGGAAACTGCCAATGGATGCCACCTAGACAGGTAAGTTCTGGAAAGCTACAGTAGTTGAATAACACGGCCAAGTATGAGGCAGTTACCGAATGAAACCGCTTGAACGCAAGCCTTGAAGCGAGACACTGATCCGTCTACACAGCCAGCACTGAAGCAGGAATTCAGCTGATAACACAGCATGTTGGAAGCTCCTGCATTAGAGGCACATGTATACAGGCACATGCATAGAGGCACACACACATTCCACACATAAGGGCAAACACATGTACATTAGGTTGAGCTATGAAACACTGGGGGAGGCCACACATTTACCAAAAGTTAATGACAAAACACAGGGCAGATCATTTACGCTCTACACAGTGCAGTTGCATATAATGGAAAAGATAATAGCACCGCAAAACAAACAAACCCACCTTTTTCGTTGCCTTGCCCCGGCTCATGCTCCCCCCACTGCTAGCACCACTCCACGACGCAAACGAACCTCCTGCTCCCTTCTCCGACCCCAGCTAATTCCCACCCTTCTGTCTGCTCACCTTTTTTGTTGCTTTGCCCCGGCTCATGCTCCCACTGCTAGCACCACTCCCCGAGTTCCACGACGCAAACGATCCTCCTGCTCCTCCCTTCTCCGACCCCAGCTCATTCCCACCCTTCTCTGCCCTCAGCATCTGCTCCGGTACTGCGAATCCGGACGCGTCAACCTCAGCCACGGCAGCAGCAAAGGCGACAGCAGCAGGGGAGGCGGGCAGCGAAAACCCCTTGGCAGAGCGGGAGGGGGTGAGGGGGATAGTCTCGGATAGGTCGAGAGAAAGCTCGGTGAAATCGGGGTAGGTGATAACTGGGGTAGGTGATCTTGGGGAGTGGTGGAGGGACCTCCCAGGTGATACCCCTGCTGCTGCTGCTGCTGCTGCTGCTGCTGTGCCAGTTGGTGGTGGCGATGGTGGTGGTGATGGTGGTGAGATGTGCCTGGTGGGGGATTTAGAAGAGCCTGCCGCTGAATCAAGCACAAGCCTTGGACCTGGAGAGGCAGCAGTAGAAGCAGCACGAGCAGCATTAGCATTGGCAGCAGAGGGGCTTCTGTCCCCACCTCTCCCTGCTGCCCCACCTGCCCCTACAACTGTAGCTGTAAGGGAATCCGGGGCAGCGGGAACAGCGAAGAAAAGGCTGCTGCCATCTGAATCTCCAACTGAGACTTCACCTGAGAATTCACCTGGCGCTCCAGCCGCCCCTTCTGCTGCTCCTGCTGCTGCCGCGGCTTCGGCAGTGGATACCTTGGCAGGGGTCAAGGAGGAGGTGGAAGAGGAGCGCACCCAGTCAGAGACAGAGAGGCGAGCACTTGCACGCTCACCACCGTCACACGCACCCCCTGCTGCTGCAGTTGCTACAGTTGCATCTGCTGTCCCTGCTGCTCCTGCTGTCCCTGCTGCTCCTGCTGCAGCGGCGAAATCAGCACCTTCTTGCGTCGAGAGACTCGTCGGCTGCTGGTGAGCAGACGACGAGGGGCTTGCTGCCGAAACACTGCTGCTGGTCGGCCGCACCTGCACCCCCCGCAGAGCCAGCTTCCGGGAAATCTCCTCGTCCCAGGTGAGGCCTGAGGGCGCTGTGAGGCCCACTGACCCCCGCAGCCTGCTCGCCCCGCCTCCCTGCTCGCCCCCACTGCTCGCCCCTGCAGCACCCTCCTTAGTTCCTCCAGCAGCCCCATCCCCATCACTAGCATCAGCACCAGCACCAGCATTGGCAGCAGAGGCAGCACCAGCACCAGCACTAGCACCAGCACTACCAGCACCAGCACCATCAGCAGCAGACGCCCCGAACCCTGCTGCGCCCCCTCCTCCCGCCGTCCCACCTACCACAATGGAGCCAGCCACAAGCCCCCCTGGCGGAATGGCCCCCAAGCTGCGAATGCGGTAGCGGTCAAATGCCGTGCGGGGGGAACGACCGTACACGAGCGAGCGGGCATACGGAGGGGGCGTGCAGACAGGAGACTGTGTGGGAGTCATAGCATCTGCCATAGCATCTGTCATTGTGTCTGATTGTGCATCTAGTCCTGGTGGGGGGATGCCTGATACGGACAGGGATATTGGGATCTCCCTAGACCATCCCCCCCCTCGTCCCCTGCCCCTTCCTCCCCCTGCTCCTACTCGCCGCCCTCCTCCATTTCCCCCTCCTCCCCTTCCTCTGCCCCATCCTCCTTCGTCCCCTCCTCCTCCTCCTGCTCCTGCTCCTGCTCCCTCCCTTCCTCCTCCTACCCCGTCGCCTCCTCCCCATCCCCCTCCTTCTCCGTCTCCCATGCTCAGTCTGCCGCCCGCAGGAGACTCTGCTGACGTGGCAGCAGCAGCCAGGCAGTGCGCCCGCGTGGACAACCCAACGAGGCTGCCGCCCCCGCGGGCGGTCATGCCAGCTGGCAGCCGGATGAACTCGTCCGAGTGGCAGATCCGCTGACGCACAAACGGACGGTCACGATCCTTCCTGGGCTGCTGGGGGGGCTGCGGCTCCAGCCTTGGTTTCTGGGGTGGATGGGGCTGTAGCGGCGGCTGTTGTAGCTGTTGCTGTTGCTGCTGCTTCTGCTGCTCTGGCAGCTGCTGCTGTCCCTTTGCCTGCTGTGACTCTTCTCGCTTCTCCAACGGGACACTGCCCAACTCTTCCTGTTGCGGAACCAAAGTTGCCTCCTGCTTTCCTGCAAGCTGCTGCCTCTCCGTTTGCTGCTGCTGCTGCTGGTGCGCTCCCTCCTCCACCTGCTTCCGCTGCTCCTCAGCTCTCTTCTGTTCCTGCAACATCTTCTGCTCCTGCAGTGCCTTCTGCTGCTGCAGCTCTTCCAGCAGCAGCGCCTCCTGCCTTTTCAGAACCGCCTCCTGCATTTTCAGCCTCCGTTCCAGCACAGGCGGCAATGTCAGCGGCGGCAGCAGCTGCTGATATTCCTGCCACCGCTGCTTCTGAGCCTCTGTCAGCCTAGGTCCTCCACTGCCCTCCCCCCCATCCCCACTCCCCATACCCCCGCTTCTCCTCCTTCCACTACTAGTACCACCGCCGCCTCTTTCTATCACCGACCCAGTGCTTTCTGCGCCGCTGCTCGTCCCGCTGCCATATCCCCCTCCCCTAGGTGTTCCGCCCGCAGGTGTGCCTCCCCCAGACGCCCCTCCCCCGGGTGTGCTTCCCTCGTCGTCTTCCCCACCCCATCCGCCCCCCCCTCTGCCCGCAAACCCACCAGCAGCGCCACTGAAGCTGCTGCTGCGCGCTCTCCCACTCACAAACGCCGCTCGCAATCCTGCTGCTGCTTCTGCGCCCCCTAACGCCCCAACCCCTCCACGCCCCAGATCCCCTCTGCGCCCACCTCCCACTCGTCCCTCCACCCCATCCTTTCCCTTCCCTGTGACTCCACTCCCACCGTTACCACTACCCCAATCGCCAGAACTTCGATTTCCGCCGCCCGAATCGTCAACTGCGTGGTTTCTGCATCCCCAGGCGCCACCAGCAGTGCCGGGGCGAACCTCAGGGGAGAGGTGGCGGTGAAACTGCTGCAGCAGCAGATCCTCGGCTCTGCCAGAGCTCATGGAGCGGAGGAAGAGGGAGGCTGCAGAGGAAGACGCGGAGGAGGAGAGTGTGGAGGAGGAGAGGGGCTCCTGACCCTCGTCCTCTGCTACTGGGGAGAAGAGGGAGGGTTCACGTGCGAGGTGGTAACCGCCTGTGCCGTCTGCGTAACCACCGGTGGTATCCGTGTAACCATCAGCCGTGCCATCGCCACGGCCTCTGGTGGACTCGTCTACAGCTCTGAAAAAACTACCACCAGGTGGATTTGCCTCATGAGAATACATTCTTTCTCTGCTTCCGTGCCTGCCCCTGCCCCCGCTGGTGCCCTCGCCCCCGCTACCGCTCCCGCCCCTGCCCCTGTCCCATTGCACCTCTTCCCCACTCTCGCTCTCACTCTCACTCCTCCCGGTGATCTTCCCCATCGCCTCCCCCTCCCAATCTCCCGTGCTCACACATCGACTGAACGTGGCCAACTGGGATTTTTTGGCTGCTAGTGCCTGCTCCTCGCACTCTGGTTGTCGCGTGCTTGTGGATCCGCCGAACCCGAAGCTGCGGCCTCGGGAATTGCGGGGGGAGACGAGGAGGGAGAGGGAGGAGGGGGAGGTGGGGGCGGTGCGAGGACTGAAGGGCGGGTGGGGGCGTCGGGCAGAGGAGAAGAGAGCTGCAACTGCTGGCGATGCTGCTGCTGCTCCTCGAGAGGTGGGGAACGGTCGAGAGGTGTGTCGAGAGTCAAAATGAGCAAGTCCAGAGGCATTTCCCTCTGTATCCACCATTGAGACGCTTCCTCCTCTTCTCCTCCCTTGACTATGCCACTTTCGGGAACTACCAGTAGGTGTTACTGGGACCTGCTTGCTGCTGCTTCTGCTGCCACTGCTGCTTCTGCTGCTCCGTTGACCAAAGCTAGAGGGATCCAAACAAGGCTCGTCTCGGCTGCCGTCCCCACCGCTGCCAGTATGCAGCAGCTTTCTCACTTCTCTAGGGGATTTTTGAACCAACTCAAACATTGACTCATTGTTGCCGCCCCCACTGCTGCCTGTATGCAGCAGCCCCCTAACGTGTCGGAGGGAAATGAACTCTGCACTGTGTGACACCCCTGTTCTCGTGCGCCTTGCAATTGGTCTTCTAGCTGAGGGAGGAGAAGGGGAAACTAACCTCTCAAATTCATCCACCTCTTGCCCTCTTCCTCCTCCTCCCCTTTCATATCTAGCCCTTCCCCATTCCCAAGCCCCTTCGTCTTCACATTCCACCCCACGTCCCCCTCCTCCTCCTCCTCCTGCTACTCCTCCTCCTCCCCCTCCTCCTGCTCCTGCTCCCGTTCCAATGCCCCTACGCCTGTCCCCTCTTGCCTCTTTGCTCCCACCATCGCCACTACCATGCCTCTCACCGTCACCACTGCCACCATACCTCCCACCCTCACCACTGCCACCGTGCCTGCTTCTACCGTCACCACTATCACGCCTGCCACCAGAACCCACACTACTGTGACGGGGAAACACGCCACCCAAGGTACCGTCACCCCCCAAAGTCGAATTCAAACCACCCCCCGGAGAAAACGACGTGCCTGTCACACCCAGCGACACGGACACAGGAACAGCGCTTCTACTAGCCATTACGGTAGCAGCAGAAGCAGCAGAGGCAGCAGAAACGGCCCCGCTTCTCTCCTCTCTCCTCCTGCCCCCCTTCCCCCTCTCCCTGTCAATACAAGAAGCTGAGCTAGGTCTTGTGCTCGCGGATCCTCCTGCTGTTCCTGCTGGTTCCACCGATCCTCTCGTCCCATAGCTCTCTCTGCGTGCCCCTGCTGAGTGCGGCCTTTCCCTGGACCTTTCCTCCCTGGAGTGCTTATGGCGAGGCTTATGCGAGTGAGCCTGCGCTGTTTGATGCTGCTGCTGCTGCTGCTGCTGCTGCTGCTGCTGCCACTTGTGCTGCTGACTCAGGTCGCGCCAACCTGTCCAACCCATCGCTGACGTGGGAGAGGTGACTGCTGACGTGGACCGGGCAACACCGCCCAGAATGCGAGTGCGGCGGCGAGACGGGCGCCACTCAAACGCATCGGAGTCATCCTCGTCACCTTCTGAGATATCATCAAACAAATCGTCCCCCGAACCGCCTCTCGAGAAGCCTGCATCTGTCCCTGCTTCTCTCCCTGCTAACCTTGCCCCTACTATCCCCGTCCCAACTCCAGCTCCTCCTCCCCCTACTCCTCCGCCACTCCCTGCTAGCACACGAGCGCCCACAGCTGCTAGCCTGCTCGCAACCTCTGAGTCCCATGTTTGGCCGGAGGGCGAATTACCAGAGTTACCAGAACCCCACTCTTCACCAAGCGATGAGTGCCCCACACCTCCACTCCCACCCCTTGAACCGCCAGAAGCCCTCTGTCTCTGCCTACTTGAAACCTCCTCCCTCGGAAATACCTGCATCGTGTAGTCTTGAGAAAACGACTTACCTATGTGCCCTCGTGCCAATGCACTGCTACTACTAGCCCCAGCAAGAGCCCCAGTAATGCCACTCCTATCATCAGATTCCCTGCCACTTCTACCACCAGATTTGGTGTTGTTCCCAGCACTACCACTCCTAGTAGCAGCCCCATTCCTAGCACCAGTCCCAGAGCCGTTCCTAGAATCCGTAAGGCTCCTAGTAGCAACCTTAGTGCCGCTTGTGGTGTGCATAACGCGGCCTAAGGGCAGCTTCTGCTGTCCTGACCCAGTGGTTGCTCGTTTAACGCGCCCCGCCTGGTGTCCCACCTTCTGTGCTTTCCACGCTGCACCTGAGTAAGAATCTGAACCGGAATCAGTCTCTACTCCTGCCGCTTCTATCTCTACCGCTGCCTCTGACCCTGCCTCTGCTTCTGTTTCTGTTTCTTCTGTTGCCGGTCCTGCTTCTGCAACTGCTGCTTCTGGTGCTGAGTCGGCATCTGACTGTGAGAAATGGGTGTCGATGCGAGGAAGGGAAAAGGATGCTGCCACACGCGCTGTGTGCTGCTGCCTTGGGAAATGAGCGTCAGGTGCAGGTGAGTGCGAGAAGCGTGCTTCTTCGTGAGGCAGAGACAAGGACGCTCCTACTACACGCCCACCAGAAAAGCCAGACTCGGCCTCTTGCCTTCTCCGAGGATCGCTGCCCTCTCTGCTTCCCCCCTTTTTTGAACCAGACGCCTTCTTCTTCTCCTCGTTCCCCTTTCCACCATGACCAGAACAACCACCAGCACCATCACCACCAGCACCAGCACCAGCACCAGCACCAGCACCAGCAGAAACTCTTGTATGGTAAACCTCGATATCATTGCAACGCTTCCTGCCCACCTGCTCCTCACCAAAACTGTCCTCTGTATAGTCATCCTCGTCACCGCTGCAATCATCAGCCTGCAGGCGCGTGTTGCTGCTCCCTCCAAACGACAAGGACCTACAATGCCCATACGCAACCACGGGAGCCTTGCCTCTTCCTCCTGCTGCCCCTGCTGTACCTACTGCCCCTGCTGCCCCCGTTGCTCTTGCTGCCCTTGTTCCTCCCGCTACTCCGGCTGCAGCAATCACACGAGCAGGAGACAGGTTCGGGAACGAACCAGACCTACCCGGCATTCCTTCGCCCGACAAATCCTCATCAAAACCGGACCCCGCCCATCCAGACCCCCCACTACTAACAGACCTTCCCTTTCCTCCCGTCCGCCTGAAATCCAAACCCGAACCCACAACGGTCCCATTGCGGCTTCGGTCCCTTCTCCCTCCCTTCGGCCCCTCCCCATCGACCTTCTGTGCCTGTCCTTGCCTTCCCGTCCCTTTTGTCCGCATCCCCTTCTCCTTTATAGTTTGCTTCGCTTTGTTTCCTGTGCGTGTGACCATCCCCTTCCCTTGGTTCTGAGTTGTGCTGTCTGTATCTGTTGCTTCGCTGGTGTAGCTTCGCAGCAAGGCCAACTGGCGCGCCCATTCAGGCCGTGGGCTGATCATGGGCGAGTCTCCAGCGTCGCTTAGAGGGTTCTTCTCCTGCTCCTGCTGCTGTTCCTGCAATGACGAGCGGTCCAAGTAAGGCCTGCGTTGCTGCTGTTGCTGCTGCTTCTCCTGCTGCTTATGAATCTGTTGCTGTGGATTCCACACAAAATCCTCCTCCTCTCCTTCCTCCTCATCTTCCTCGCAACCGCTGCTGCTATCAGCTACCTCCACCTTCACAGCGCTATCTTCACTCTCTAAACCTAGCCCCATACCCCTCTCTAAACCCAGCTGTTCCATGCCCCTCTCTTCTTCCCCCAGGCAACCATCCCCTTCATCCCTATTTACACCCCCCATCCTCAGCTGAAGCCTCGACCTCCCTCCACTCACTTTCCCGCCTTCTGGTAAATCCAAAGAATCGATCGCTGTAAACAGGCTCGATTCAGCCGTTGCAGAGGTAACAGAGGGAGCCGTTGCAGCGGCAGCAACAGCAACAGCGGCAGAAACGGAAGCGGTCGCTGTGGCAGCGGCTATAGCAGGGGCTGTAGCAGCGGCTCGTGGGTGCAAGGGGGACTTGGCCAGAAGCTCGTCTCTGGAACGGCAGGTCAGGTAGGCTTTAGGCGCGTCCGGGTAGACAATCAGGGCCTCACGTGGGGGTATCGTTCCGCGCACACTAGCTATGAGAGCGCCTATATGCGAGCTGAGCTTATGAAGGGCGTGATTGTACGGGGAGGTGAGCAGGTCGGTGCGGAATTTTCCGTTCTTGGTTGCTGCTAGCACATGAATGGAACGGAGCTGGGATGAATGAAGATGAGACGGGGGAAGTAGAAAGGAGGAAATGTTTACAAGATTCAGAACTGATGCAGTTACTTTTGCCCTCGGTTGCTGCCAGCATGTGGATGGAATGAAGCTGGAATTATGTTGAGAAGCAGAGTAGAAAAGGGGAGACAGAGAGAACGCGCTGTTTATACTGCACAGGAGAAGTGTAGCACACGAAGGGGTGGTTCAGTTCGTGTCGTTGCGTATCATAAAATCTCTAGCAGGGCTGCCTCAGCACAGATTAGCAGATTAGGTAGTGCTCTGGCGATAAGGAAGCTGCGTAACACATTGTAACTCATTGTAATGCGTACTTGCTCCAGAAACTCATAAGCCCGGATTTTGTCCACATTGTGCGTGCCTGCTCCATATTCTGCATTGCATATCTGTGCTCCAGGAACTTAGCGCGACTTTGTCCAGGCATACCTGCTCCAGAAACTTGTAAGCGCGGACTTTGTCCAGTGCTTCATGGCCGCCAAGCGTATATACGACTTTGTCTCGCACAAGGAATGCGAGCATGGTTCCATCGTAGCACTGCACAGCACAGCACAGCACAGCACAGCACGGCAAAGAGTGAGAGGAAAGTCTGGAGTCAATTGAAAAAAAAAAGATTGTAGATGGCTGTGTCTCGCACAAGGAATGCGAGCACGGTTCCGTCGCAGCACTGCACTGCGCAGCACACAACAACACGGCAAGGATTGAGAGGGATGACTCTACGTCAACTGAAAAAGCTTCCAGGTGGCTGTGTCTTGAACAAGGAACGCGAATCGGAAAGAAATTTAAAGGCTAGGTTAGGTAAGACTAGGGTAGTAGCTTGCAAGAAATGGCTTGGGTGTTCTTAAAAGTTTCGGAAAAAAGTTCTAAGGCTAGGGTAGTAGCTTGCGTGTAAGACTTGCTCCTCTGTACAGCACTCTCTCTTGCTGGAGCTATGAGTGTAGAACTTGGCTCATTGAAAGGGTTTTCCGATAGGCCAGCTCAAGTTGAGTGGTGAATAAGCGACGGAGAGTCGTGGCTGAGTTAGGGTTAAGGCAAAAAAAAAAAAAAGCACTCGTCAAGAGGTTGACGGGGCGGTACGCTCGTAAGGTGACTTTAAAGCGTGAAAAAAACATCTTCAATGTCTCTTGATAGCCTACATGAGAAAGGCGTGTTCAAGAGAGGCCTACCCGGGAATAGCTGGAAACGTTATCAGGCAATTGTCGCATAGCTTCGACAATAATGGAGGTGCAGTCCCCGGGAAAGCTGCTGTGCGCATAGAGAATTGTACCGCGGTATACTATAGCGGCGTAATAAATTAAATACTCCTCGGGCTCAGCCATTTCTGCCACTCGACCCTCTGGCTAACGAAATAAATTAACCTTTCATAAATACCAGAACGCGTATGCATTTACTCCTGCCTAACCTACTCGTCTGGAGCTCCATTATTTGTTCAAGAGGCTGTTCCTATAGCTGCATTTCAAGAAACGTCAAGTAAGCGCACAACGTCCTGTCGGCATTACCTCAACCCTAGGAATATGGTATGCTATCCAGCAACTATCATTCGACCTAGATGCTGTCCTTGACCCTAGGGACCTGTTGGTATGGGAATCCTCTTTGTGCTTGGATGTTGGGATGCTCCTAGATTTTCTCCGTGTTCGCTTACGCGTTTCGCAAATACTCGCCAGAACATGGTAACGTGTCTAGTCGGGGCCGCACAAGTTTCGCCTCACGACAATTTGTGGTTGCAAGAAAGTCCATGGTTGTTGGGACTAGGCGGCACCATTTGCATTGCTGTAGTCCGTTGAGCGTATCCCATTCAACGAATATGGGTGCAACTTTGTTGTAGGAGCTAATATCGTTACAGTACATACAGAATAACAGTTGCCGATAACAGTTAAAATGCTGTTATGCTGTAAGGTTCCCTATCACCTGTTTATTCGTAGACAATACATTCGTGATATAATTTCTTCCTTGCGCCACAACAGCCCTCCGTGCGAATCTAGTAAACAGGAGGAAAAACATAAGAAAGCCTGTACACCCTGTTGTGTCCACCTAGCTGGGTTACGAGAGGCGGTGTATAAGGTTGGTAAGGACGCGATAGCCGAGCTTGAAGTCGGATAGCAGCGCATACTCGTTTCGCGCATGATAAGTGGCCATGACACCTGCCACAGAATTGGAGCATATACGAAAGAATGTGGGTCCAAGAAGGCCGCACTACATGGCTCCTACAAAAGAAATAAAAAAAGAGGTGACCAGCATAGGCTACCAATAGTGATTTAAGAGAAAAGCAGAGCCACATGGTACGACCACATCCCATGCTATCACCATCACATCGAAAAAGCATTGATAAAACCCACCCTCTATCCTCACCATACCCCAATCCCTCACCATTTCAGATGCTCCGAAACAAGCAGATGTGGTATCACCAAGCACCAGAATTATAGAAATCAAAATCAATATCAAAAGACAATCTCACCATATCCCATGGTCTGCACATCGAATCCTGCCTCCTGCAGATCGCGAATCAACGGCAGGGATCCCGTGATGGAGTACGGCTTGCACTCGCCCATCACATCCTTCGTGGCGGTTACCAGCGCGTGGTAACCAGGCGAGTCCAGGTTACACGCCACGCCCTTCATCGGCGCCTCTGCTATCTCTAGCTCGAGTCTGAAGGGGAGGTTAGGGAAAGGGGTTGGCTCATGGAAGAGGGAAGGAAATTGAGTGCGAAGAAAAGAGGGCGAAAAGAGAGGCACGTGTACATTGGAGGTTCAATCGCCCTCTCATACGTTCCCTCCGCCCACTGGCTTCCTTCCCCCGTAACACTCTCTGCTCCAAACATTCAGCTTCCTCCTTTCCTCCCACTCCTCCCTCTCTTCTCTTCTCCCGCATTAGACATATCCACGGGCCCGTTCTCACCTGCCCTGCAGATTTTCTTCGGGCAGAACAAATTTCGAGCACGGGCCGGGGCCTGAGAGCGTGGACAGGTTGGCGTTTATGTCTGCCACGTACTCCCTCAGCTTCGCTGCTACCTCGTCCACACTGCAGCGATGGAGAGTGGTACAGAGGTGGTAGGGGAGCATAGAGAGGGGTGAAGTGTGGTGTGAGTTGGTGGCCCATAGAACACGAGAGCGTGGACAGGTTGGCATTTATGTCTGCCACATACTCCCTCAGCTTCGCTACCACCTCGTCCACACTGCGGTGGTGGGGGGTGGGAGGGCATGCGGAGAGGTGAAGTGCGGTGTGAGTTGGTGGGCCCAAGTAGCACATGAGCGCATGGGGTACAATTTGGTGCCTATGCCTGCCATGTGTTGACTCCGCGTCGCTGCCGCCTCGTCAACACTGCAGAGGGATGGGAGAGAGAGGGCAGTGGCTGAGCATGGGGATTCACTTGGATTCTCATCATGAGTTCACACAAACAGGAGGCACAACAGGGTTGCCATAAACATTTAGCGGCATGCTAGTTCTCAAATAATCATGCGTAAGCACGCATGCCAGTGCATGCTAGTACTTGCACTCAGGGAACGATTGCTCTTAAGACATGCATGCATGGATCTTCATGTTGTAGGGGGTTAAAAAAGAAAAAGAAAAAAAGAACACACATTTTTTTTTTTTTTTTCCAGTCAACTCGATAATTCTCAAAAGCGCCTCCAACTGTACAAGAATCGCACGCACGCACGCATCTTGCACACTGGCATAGAGAATACTCAGAATGGAAAATACACACTCAGGAATCACTCACTCATAGAATGGCGTTATTCTGATGTCGTATGCCGTCGGGGGAAGAGGCAAGTACAATGTAGGCACACGCAAGCATCGACCGCACGAAAGCACATGCGAGGTGGGAAAAGGCACAACAAGTATGGGCGGACAGAAGGACAGCGTGATGCGGATGGGATGGGGGGGGTCAAGAGAAGCGAGTAAAGAGGAAAAGAGCATAGAATTTGAAGGACGGGAATTGCTGCATCATGTAGGGTGAGAGGGAGGAGAGGCCCACCCAGCGACACTACCTGCAATCCCCTGCAAGTGTGCACTCCCCAGGGATCTGATTCACACTGCCGCCCGGATCTGGTGCAGCCACAGACATGGACAAAAGGAAGTATTGGGTTCAGGGGTTTCGGGTGTTGGGTCGAACCAAGTAGGCCCAGGAAGCACATTTCGGAAGGGGAACTTGGGAAAGAAACACTAGGAACAATTCAAAGTGAGGGTTGAGGAGTTTGAGTTTGCGATCTGAAATTTGGGAAGATAAGTTCAAGAAGCAAATGTTGCAAGGGAGACGCGAGGATCAGACCACTTGGGACAGCTGACAAATGTTATTGAGGGGTTTGGGTTTACTATCTAAATTCAGGTAGGTACGGCCAGGAAGCAGATGTGCAAAGGGGAGGAGGAGGAGAGGAGAAGGCAGTGTGCAGGGATAAACGAGGGACCTGGACCAGGTGGGCTAGATGATGGGAGCTTGAGCAACGGAACAGTGAAAAAAACGAGTGTGGAAAACGCAGATCTGAAAAACCTGTAACATCCGAAAAACCTCCTTGCGTAAAACGAGGGAACTGGACCAGGTGGGCAAGATGATGGGAGCTCCAGTCAATATGTATGGCATATCCAGGGGAGTTTCTCTGCTCACTCACCACTCAACACCACTCAATACCACTCAACTTTATTCAACACCATTCACTCACACAACCACTGAGTGGGCTTCATGGTCGATGGTGTGGCGAACCCATACGTCTTCTCCATGGCATGGGGGGGAAGTCATGGATACATGTATGCACGCTCACATCACCATACGTGTGCATCAGCCAACCTCACTCACACGACCACTGAGTGGGCTTCATGGTCGATGGTGTGGCAAACCCATACGTCTTCTCCATCTCGTGAGGAGGAAAGTCCCGATAGAAGCGGGTCTGAATCTCCGCCAAGGCTGTCATGCCGAGCTCGATAGGGTTCACCGCCTGCACAGGAGTGCAGAGCGGTGGAAAGGAGTGCAAAGGGGTGGAGTTGGTGTGTGGAGGGTGCGGCAAAACCATATGTCTTCTCCAACACATGTGGAGGGAAGTCCCGGTAAAATCGGATGTGGATCTCTGCTATTGCTGTCATGGCCTGCTCGATGGGGTTGATGGCCTGGAAGGGAGTGTTGTGGGGTGGTAAGGAGTGCAAAGGGGTGGAGTTGGAGTAAGGACAGTGTAGCAAACCCATACGTCTTCTCCATGGCATGCAGAGGGAAGTCCTGGTAGAAGCGGGCCTGTATCTCCGCCAGTGCTGTCATGGCCAGCTCGATAGGGTTCACCGCCTGGAAGGGAAAAGGTGCAAAGGAGTGCAGAGGGGTGCAGTTGGGGTGAGGGGGGCTGGTGGTAGAAGCGGGTCTGAATCTCCGCCAGTGCTGTCATGGCGAGCTCTATGGGGTTCACTGCCTGGAAGAGAGAGGGGGGTGTAAAGGGGTTCACAGGGGTGAGGTTGGAGTGCAGAGGTTTGGAGCTGGAGTGAGAGAAATGGAGACGACACAGGAGAAGGTGGTAAGAGCGGGTCTGCATCTCCGCCAGTGCTGTCATAGCCAGCTTGTGGCACTTAGTGACAGTTATGACTGCACCTTGCGATGCAGACCCCATCAAAGCCGATGAGAGAGCACCTTGTGTGGCAGGCCCGAGTGGAAGAGCTTCCCAAACGCCTTGAGCTCTGCTCATGGCACTAAAGAGAGCACGTTGTGGGCTGGGCTGGGCACGTGATTCACTTCTATGTGAGCCAAGCACAAACCACTTCACCTTGTGCGGCAGCCCCGAGTGGAAGAGCTTCCCAAACGCCTTGAGCTTCCATGCCAGCATGCCCCCCGTGCCTATGCACGGCTGCTTGTCTGCCGTGTCCACCCAGAAGCTGCCACGTGGCATGGAGGGGACATAGAGGCAGAGAAAGGATGGTGAGAAGAGGATGGACAGAAGGTCTGAGTCCTGGGACGATTCTTGAGATGAGTTTTGGGGAGAGCTCGCTTGTCCGCCGTGTCCAACCAGAAGCTGCCACGTGGCATGTGGGGGACATGGGAAGCAGAGAGAGGACGGAATGAGAGAGAACGGTGCGGAGAGGTTGCACGAGGTCTCTGAGTCTTAAGAGGTGTCTTGAGGCAAGTTTTGGGGCAAGTTTTGGGGCGAGGTTTGGGGCGAGGTTTGGGGCGAGGTTTGGGGCGAGGTTTGGGGCGAGGTTTGAGGCGAGGTTTGAGAGACGAGGTGAAGGGAACTTACAGAGGTCCGTTCTTGAGGTGGTCCAGCAGGCCCGCCTTGACCAGCCCATCCACCCCACCCCAATATCCTTCACCGTCGCATTCTCCTCGTTGTGAGAGGTGATGGGAGGAGGGAAACAGGAACTCACAGGGGTCCGTTCCTGAGGTGGTCCAGCAGGCCTGCCTTCACCAGCCCATCCACTCCAATATCCTTCACTGTTGCGTTCTCCTCATTGGCTATCAGCACCGCCACCACTGTCGCGCCCAGCTCCGGGCGGCAGACTGCCAGCTGGCGCATGAGCTCCGTGACGAGCGCCACGTGGCCCAGGCAGTCCGTGGTGCCGCGGCCTCTCAGCTTGTCCCCATCTCGGGAGAATGTGAAGGGGTCAAAGTCCTGGTAAAGGAGAGGCGAGGGAAGAGGGCGGACGAGATGAGAGAATGTGAGAGGGGGGAAAGAGCTGTTAGCTGGCTGGCAGTCCGTCTGGACGAGAGAATGTGGGTGAATGAGCTCCGCGACGTGACGAGTGCCACGTGGCCCAGGCGGTCCGTCCGTTGCGCCCCTGCCTCTCAATTTGTCTCAAAAGGTGAAAGGGGTCGAAGTCCTGGTGAAGCAGAGGCGAGGGACGTGGGGTGGGGGGAAGAGAGAATGTGAGAGGGAGGGGGCAGCGCATGAGCTCCGTGACGAGTGCCGCGTGGCCCAGGCAGTCCGTGGTGCCTCTGCCCCTCAGCTTGTCCCCGTCCCGAGAGAAAGTGAAGGGGTCGACCGTCGAAGTGCTGCAGAAAGGGGAGTGGGAAAAGGAAGGGAATGTGAGGGAGGAGGAGGGAGAGGGCACCCTCGCTGACGCCACCCAGGCAGTCCGCGATGCCTCTGCCCCTCAGCTTGTCCCCGTCCCGAGAAAAGGTTAAGGGGCCGAAGTTCTGAGGAAGGAGAAGCACAAGGAGCGGAAGGCAATGGGGGATGAGGGTCAGGGCACTATAGCTAGCTAGCTAGGCAGGCAGACCGGGATGGTACCTCAAACCAACCCCGGAAAAACTAGTGCCCACCTGAGAACACTCGGGGTAGCAAGGATAGGCACCTGCGGCCGCCATTCTCGGGTTACAACCCACCCAGTCATTGGAGTTGGCGGTGACGACGTCCATGTGACATACAGCCACGAAGGAGAGCACGTTGGAGGGGTGCGAGCCCTTGTACGTGATGATGAGATTGCCCCAACCAGGCCAGGTGCGAACCCCAGCAGCAAATACCCAAACAGCTCACCCAGTCGTCAGGGTTGGCGGCGACGACGTCCATGTGACATACAGCCCATGAAGGAGAGAAGCTTGGAGGGGTGCGAGCCCTTGTACGTGATGATCAGGCTGCCCCAGCAAGCCCGTGCGAGAACCCTTGAACGTTACCCAACCCACCCAGTCACACTTACAAGATGCTGATGCTCACCCAGTCATCAGGGTTGGCAGTGACGACGTCCATGTGACAGCCGACGGAGGAGGTTAGAGGGGATGGTGGCGCCTGACCTCACATCACTCGAGATACATAACCCATATGTACACTAGAAAACACAACCACACCCTCAACACACTAAGACCCACCCAGTCATCAGGGTTGGCAGTGACGATGTCCATGTGACAGCCGACGAACGAGAGGAGGTTAGAGGGGGATGGTGGTACCTGCCTCAAAACCCCCAGGAAAGCTAGTCAAGTGCAATCATACAACACAAGCAAATTACAACAACCCACCAGTCGTCGGGGTTGGCAGTGACGACGTCCATGTGACAGCCGACAAAGGAGAGCACGCTGGAGGGGTGCGAGCCCTTGTACGTGATGACCAGGTTCCCCCGCCCCTCCACGTAGCTCGACGTGCTGTATGTGCAGCGGGCCTCCCTCCTCCTCACTGCACCAGCATGGGGGGAAGAGACCAAGGGGGGGGACAGACAGAGGGGGTGAACGTGCGAACTTCTTTTATGTAACGATCATATCAGGTTGCCCCGCCCTTACACATAGCTCATACGCTGGATGTGCAGCAGCCCGCCCCTCTTCCTCACTAAGGGGGTGGAGGGACGGAGGAGAGGACGTTAGAGGGATGAGGGCCTTTGTACGCGATGATGAGGTTGCCCCCGCCCACCACGCAGCTCACATGCTGTATGTGCAGCAGCCCGCCCTCTTCCTCACTGCACTCAGCACGAGGGAACGAATGAAGGTGGGTAAGTATGAGGGTGGATTTTGACGAATGGCTTCTGGAAACCGTGGAGAAAAAAAAAAAAAAAAACCAGAGTGACTGTGGAGAAGATATTACGAGAATGACTGTGGGTTTGTGACAGGAGCATCGATAGAGGCACCTGCAGGGCTGAAGCACGTTCAGATCAGAGCATGTTCGCACTGCAAGCTGCACGCACAGTCGCCGTACCTGAAAATCAGTATCAGACTTCTCAAAAAACACGTCCAGAACATGTCACACTGCACTCTGCACGGTCCTGTAGGGCTGTAGGTTGATGTAAGAGAGGTACTGATAATATATATATATATATATATATATATATATATATTCAAGAAATAGATACCTGTAGTGCTGCAGCACGTCTAGAACGTGGCGTACTGCGCGGTCCTCCTTGGGCACGCACTCAGGAGGGTTGTTCTGCCA